GTGTGTTTGTGTTTTGCTTGTCTCATATTTTATTTGGGCATATTCTTATTAGTCTTATTGTTCTTATTGTTCATATCCATCTCTTGCAAGAACATATTGATCTATATGAGAGACGGGGTCAAATCCAATAGGAGTGACGTCGATTGACGAACCTAGGGAGAGGTTGTAATCGAGCATTTGAGGAGGAGGACACGGGCTAGGTTCCTACACTTAGTGTGTAAAGTGTGATTGTTGAGTGATTGTGTTGTGTGAGAGTTTTCGGTGAACTTGTAAACCGAGTGTGTAGAAGTTCCGGCTTCCAAACCGGATAGTGATAATGGATATCTCCTCGAGGTGAGGAGCGGGGACGTAGGTCGTAGGGACCGAACCTCGTGAACATATCGTGTGTTTGTGTTTTGCTTGTCTCATATTTTATTTGTGCATATTCTTATTAGTCTTATTGTTCTTATTGTTCATATCCATCTCTTGCAAGAACATATTGATCTATATAATTTTAATTAGCATTTTAATTGGGATTAGATTAGTATAAGACCCTAATCACCCCCCTCTAGGGTCTAACACTTTATATTTCTTCAGTTTTTACTTGTTCAATTTTGTATAAGGGCATGTTGATCCGTATTTTATGTCTTGGATGATATTCATTTATGATATGTATTATTTTATTCTATGTTGTTCATTATATTCTCGCTATTGTGATCGGAGACCTGTGACTTTGCTTTACATTGCTTGACGCTTAGCATATTAGATTGAGTAGATGGTCTAGTACATTTCTCCTCGGTCTAATACATCACGGGCTTGTTCACGTTCCGATTCCCAGGTATTTTGGGAAGCAGGGCGTGACATTGATATTTCAAGCTAATGATTTATGTAGTCCATTTGATAACTACGAAGACAATGTCACCCTTATTGTTGCTTTTTGTGTTTGTCACCATGTAAAGAAGGGATTCATCCGTTATTTTAAACAAGAGTAGTTGAAAATCAAAAAGGATTTATTAAGAAGAATTAAGTGGTCGGGTAGTAGTTGGTGTAAGCAAATGGGGAGGAGATGGTTTTACTGTAGGAGGGGGAATAGATTATGTAATAATTTGGAGGGAAATAGGGTTTTTTCCTCCAAAACCCCATTCTAATCACCAATTGTACAGCAACAGTACTATTCCCGGATTTTCGTCTTGATAGGGTGACGATCTATATGAGGGCATTTTGGGAAGAGCATGTTAGTTTAAAACATCGTTTCACGTTGGGGGTGTTTTGGGGAATAGAGGAAAATCGTGAGAGTTTTTGGACCTGTAGGCTATAAAAGTTGCCTTAACCACAGATGGGCCTGAATTCCACCTACATGCTTGACTCGCCTGCACGAGTCAAGTCCACTCAAGAGTTGAGTTCGCCAGCACGAAAGAAGCTCGCCCGCGTGCTTGACTCGCCAGCACGAGTCAAGGCCACGCGATCGTTGAGCTCGCCTGCACGTCCAGGCAATCCGCTAAGCGATCAGAAACTCGCTTGCATACTTGATTCGCCTGCACGAGTCAAGTCTACTCAAGAGTTAAGCCCGTCTGCATGGCCAGGCGATCAACAAACTCGCCCAAACTCGCTAGAGTACCCGGCGGCTACACTGTCATGTACAGGGAGTGGCATTCCTATTTCCCACGACGTGAGCGAGGGGTATAGTACTCCACTCCCATCAAGTAATTGCCCGCATCACTCAGCGGTGGTGTTCACCTACACGCTTGATCCGCTTGCACGAGTCAAGTCGGCTCAAGCACTGAGCTTGCCTGTATGTCCAGACAATTAGCCTAGCGAACTCGCCAAAGTACCTGGCAGCTGCACCATCGCGTACAGGGATGAGCCTTCCCATTTCCTGCGATGTGAGGGGAGGAGTACAGTGCTCTGAGCCCCTCAAGCGGCCGCTCATAGTACAAGTGAGAGGCATGACATCTCTCAACAGGACATGGTCACATCTCATGATTCAAGGGAGTAACCATGTCGCCTCTCCCCTATTTAAGAGCCTCTCCTGGCTACGGGAAAGAGGTCGTAGTTAATTGATTAATTCAGTCAGTTAGCTGGTCCAACGACTCTCAACTCTCAAGCGAGTCGACAACCTGCTCTTTGCATTGCTCTTGCACTGTAGCATCTTCTTCTAGCCCTCGACCTCGAGCACTATCAAACTCGGAAACTCGAACTCGATCAACACGAACTTCTACTGTGTACTAAAGCTCGCCTGCAACTTCGATTGGATCGTCCAAGGGAAGCAAACTCGGTACGAGAATCGAGGGAGACGTCCTATGGCTACCAAAGACCCCACATTAAATATTTTTTGCTTAATCATTGTTTGTACCTTTATCACTGTGTCTTGAATCGTTTACTCATCGAATTTCAAGTATTACTGCAAACTATGATATAGTTTTTTTTCAATTTAAAGTATGTGAAAATTTTTCCTACAAGTTTGAAAATTTTGTGATATTTTCACTAATAAGACTAGTTTATAGTATTTTTTTATTTTAATTCTTGATAACTTTATGAAATTTACACTAACAACTAACATACCATTTTGATATATATTTTCCTACAAAATATCTATTTTATAACTACATATCTCTTTGTAAGAAACATTAAACCAATTCATATAAAAACCATGTTTTATTTTTAATTTATACATAAACCACATTAAAGTTGGTTTTGTTATAATTAACCACCTCTCAAACAAAGCTTTTACTAAAAATTCAAAATTAGTCTTAAAAAACTCACATTCATTTCACATGATTCTTTTTTTAGTATTTAGTTCTCGTTAGTGCACTATTTTCGGGTAAGAATGACCAATTCACTCTTATCCTCAGTTATAACCACTTTACCACGTTCTAGGATAACATTAGATCAGTTAGAACAAATTCAGGCGGTTATCAGTCGAAAACGGCTCAAAACAGCGCTTTTAGGCCTACGGACACTCGCAGTGTCTCGGCCATGGCTGAGACACTTAGGGTGCCTTGGCCGAGACACTCGCAGTGTCTCCGCCAAGGCCTGGGCATCGTTCAGGAGTGTCCCGCTCAGAATCATTGTATCTTTGTCGTCTAAACTCAGAATTACGCGATTCAAAGTGCGTAGGAAAGCTGACAAAAGAGATATACAAGTTCCTATGGTTGAATCATACATGGAGTGGACAAGACACGAGGGGCACTTCGTCTTTTGTAAGCGAAGCGTAACTCCCGATCAGTTCGTATCTTTGTTATTCTGTAGTTCCGTTACTTCATATGGTTCGTCGACTCACTTCATGCGCTTGTCAACGTCAAATAAGCTTCTGTGACTCGGATAGTGATGTTCATCGTCTTCTCTCTGTCTCGAACCGCGTGCGAGAATCCGTGGGTAATTTTTTACGCTTATTAATACCTCCTCCAAAGTATTTCAGTCTCGTTTCTTTTATAGAAGAGCCTGAAATACTTTGGATGTAATCGGTCCAACCTTCAGTCGGTGTAAAAGGACCTGTAGTTGGCTTCGATTCTTAACTTCTTTGATCTTTGGTATATTCAATATTTTGACGAATAGCTGAAATTCCTCCGGCCTGCGTTTATCGTCTGGCCGTTGTTAAACTTATGAGTTGGTTTTAGCTCGTGTCGTTGGGTTAACTTTGAACTGACTATCTTCATCGGAAATTTTTATCTGAACTTTGGAGTTGATCGGAGGTCATGCGTTGATCGTTATTGCCATGCGTTGACCGGCGTTGACCTTAGAGTTTTGCATCGACCGGCGTTAACTTTCATCGCAACACGTTGACCGTTATTGACTTAGGGCTACGTGTTGACCTTAAGGTTTCGCATCGACCGACATTGACTTTCATCGTAACATGTTGATTGGCATTGACCTAGGGCTACGCATTGACCTTAGGGTTTCACATCGACCGGCATTGACTTAGGGCTACGCGAACGGCCAATAACGGGCGAAAATAGGTGAAAATCAGCATAAACGACACCTAGAGGTTTGCCTTGGACCTGGGACACTGGGAATGTCTCGGCCTTGGCTGAGACACTATGGGTGTCTCGGTCAAGGGTGGGGGATATTTTTGTCCATTGTGCAGGGGGGGAAGAGGGTTTTGGCCTAGGGTACTCCTATTGTCTAAGGGTTTTCTCAAAGCTCCCGTTTTCAAATTCCCAAAAGCACAACTCATGCACTTTAAACTTGAATTTTTTAAGCTTATTTTTAATTTTTTAATAAAAATTTGACAATGAAAACCTACTTTAAAGATAGGTTGTGTATTGTCCTATTTTTAAGGAGGTTTCTATGAAAAATCCTATCTTGGCCTATACATTTGCAAATTTACCCTATGAGAATCCTATCCAGACCTACCGATAAGAAAGAAAGCTCTTCAAGCTATACATTAAGGCTATGTTTTGCTTTGAGAGAAAGGGAGAGAAAAGAAAAAGAAAGAGAAAGTAAAAAAGAAAGGAAAAGAAAAAGAAAAGAAAATGATATGCTTTTTATTGTTTGGTTAGAAAGAATATTGTAAGGAAAGTTAGAAGAATATTCATAAGAAAGTCATTTTCTCTTGTTTGGTTACCTTTCTGAGAAAAAGAGGAAGAAAATTATCACAACATAATTTTAATTCATACTTTTAGATTTAGATTTAGATTTTAAATAGTTCACAAAAAATAATTAACATGCAGAAGCACAACCACAATTCCACTAATTAAAGAACAACATTTCTCACACATAATATTAACAAGCAGAAGCATAACCACAATTCCACTAATTAAAAATAATATTTCTCACACACAACATTTGCAGAAAGAAATGTCAATGAAAGAACCAAAACAAATCTAAAGTAAATGTCATGATAATCCTAATATAAAGTATAATCAATTTCATATAGAAAATCTTAACTAACAAAGTCTATTACAAATAAAGTATAATCAATTTCATATAGAAAATCTTAACTAACAAAGTCTATTACAATCAATTTCATATAGAAGATCTTAACCAACAAAGTCTATTACAATCTCTTAACTAACAAAGTCTATTACAATCAATTTCATATAGAAGATCTTAACCAACAAAGTCTATTACAATTAATTTCATATAGATAATCTTAACCAAAGAGAGGGAAAAATATGCCGAAGTCCTTGGTTTTTGACTTTAGTGAGCCCATCAAAACATCAATCTCGCATCCTTCATCCCCTAAAATTAATTCAAAAAAATTCAAATAAGTAGAATATAAACATCAAAAACCTATAAAACGAAGTCTTAAGATTCTTTTAGAAGCAAAATAAAACTACCACTCGTTGTATCATGGTTCTTTTCGTAACACTAATCATCAGAAATGATGGAAGTGACTAATCATTGTAATGTTAAGTTTGTCCCAGAAACATGTGGCTTTGTATTCTAATCTTGTGAAATTTACTGAATACTTCCAAATGGACAGATCACTTGAAGGCATGCTTATTGTAAATCTGTATATAAATCAGTATGGGAGAAAAGAATTTCAGAGCAATAAACTCAGAACTAGAAAAAATTTCATACACACACAAAAAGAAGAGATGCATATATTGGTGATATAAGTAACTTTGTACATGGAACAGACTTCAATGATAAGAACTATAATATCAGACTCAATAAATATTGAATTACAAAGCTTCACACGACAAATTATAAAGCAAGTTGTTTAAAGATCCAATGGCCATTTTATCAAACATTAAAAATAAAAAAAGATTCTGAAGGACCAGTACGGCAAACTCGAGTTAAAACTGATTTTCCTATATTAGTTGCAGACCACGTAGGAAATGGAAGAAAATATAACCAAACTCGAGTTAAAACTGATTTTCCTATATTAGTTGCAGACCACGTAGGAAATGGAAGAAAATATAACATGTTCAGCAGTCCAAAATTGAACCAAAATAGCTAAAGAAGTCCTGGCCAGACAACATTGAACCCAAAAGACCAGTTTCCCTTTAGCAAGGATACACATTAACACCGGTTTCTTTTTTTTTTAATTTACAAATCATAATGAAAGCTGCAAGTAAAAACACATATCAACCATCAAAACCTTTCATGAACTTGCGACGATACTAAGAATGTTTTATGTCTGTCCAATATTTTCCAATGCTCTTAAGCTTTATGCAGTCTTTAGATACACAAATCGACAAAAACAATTAAAACACAAATCATTAGGCAGACCAATAATAATCATCAACCAAGAGATGGCATGTCATAAATACATCTACAACTGATTAACCCCCATTGTTTTCTTTTGCCAAAAGTTTTTGGAGATTAACCTCTAATTAAACAGCAGGCAACAACTACTCCTCAATGAATTCCTATACTCCAGTGTTAATGATAATTATTAAGGACAATAGTGTAACATGCAACGTTACATAGAAAAGTCACTCATGTTAAGAAGATATATGAAGCCAGAAATATATGGTTGCTCTGCAAAATGAAAAGTACAAGGAGGTTACACTACCTGTCCTATCACAAGGTCGTTTCTTCTTTTACTCAGCCAAAGCCTCTTCTTCAAACCGTTCACGGCCCTCAAGTGGTACACCCAGATAGCTATATATACTGCTTTGAATCAAAAGCCTAATACTTTCACGCTCATTCTCTGAGAATGGAATGTTTTCATACAAAAACTTGACCTGTCATAAATGTTAAATTGATTAAATCATTATCTGCATACTACCTAGACATTCAACTAGTTACCATATTAATATGGAAATTATTAATAACAGAGAGATATTATTGTTATGTAAGGGGAAAAAAGTTCTCTGCAGAATGTAAAGTGAAGACACATAAATTAAGATTTCAAAGAAAATGTATAATGTCATACAAGTGGCATGCAGGTGAAGAAAATAACATGGCACACCAAATCTCAGCACCAGCGGAGAACAAGAATGCTTTACGTGTCTAGCAGCAAGATACTAGTAACACAAAATAAATTGTTTCCCAAGCGAAACACTATAAGAATTTTGATAGGCAAAAATTGACCCATAATAAGGACCCTTACATTATCCCTAAATTCGATATATAGGCTACAAATTTGATAATAGAGATATTCCCCAACTTCTCTCGCTTCGAATCCTCAATCGGGCTCCCACTGCAACCCACACACTTCCTCCCCTTCGTCATCGAACCCATAGCTCTCAATGATAAGAACTATAATATCATACTTGATAAACATTGAATTACAAACAATAAGGTGATGTACTTATTACTATCAAACAATGCAAGTTCAAACTCAAAGACGATCCTCCCATCATGAAAAGGTAAAACACCAGAGGGGCCTTCAACTTTTGAAAGGTAGGAAGGCTTTTATATTACGGAAAGGAATGTTAGTCAGTTTTTTTGTCATTTTACCTTAAACTTATGAACTGTGTGGTAAAATGCAAACATGTAATTAGAGTGTAAATTAAATTACCTCCTAGCACTATGCTTACTTTTATATATCACCTTTTGAAAGCTCCTAGTGGAGGTCATTTACATGAGCTAGGATAAGTAACGCTGAATGCTGTGGTCTAAACTAATAGGATAAGTAACATTGAAGTTACAGGAGCTAGCCAAAATATATCATTTTTTATATTAAGACATGCATAGATATTCCTTATACTACAATGTGACATATGTATTGTGGGCTTTGGATGTGCATCATGCACTCAAATCTGTGTCGTGTGCATATCCAATTTGTATGCTAAATAGGATATGTAAGTGACAGTGTAAATTGACTTGTGTTCTCAACAGACTAAAGAATTGATGAGAGGTACAAAAGTGTTCAACATACCCATGTTCAGGAAAAACAGTCTTCTGCAACTTTGATGTGGATGAAGATGCCTGCATCAGACATATGAAATAAATATTCAAAAATTAAGTTAACTGCACAAGAACCCAAATTCAAATAAAACTACCAACATGAAAATCTCTGATGGGCATCATTGACCAAGAGTATGCTCAGAAAGGTGCCAACATCGTAGAAAATCAAAGGAAAAGAAATATCCATCGAGATAAATTATGAAGCCATCGTACCTGGTCTCAGATGATATATTGAATGGAATATTGTAAACAAAGGAAAATTGAAGATTAAAATCTGAAAATGCACATCTTTGTGATGCCTTTCGGTCTGAAGAATGCCGGCGCCACATACCAGCGAGCGATGACCAAGATTTTCCAAGAATATCTCAGGAAAATAGTCGAATGCTACGTTGATGATTTGGTTGTGAAAAGCTGCAACAAAGAAGATTACATCAAGGATTTGAAGACGATGTTCGATCTCATGAGGAGTCATCAATTGAAGATGAACCCCAAAAATGCACATCTTTATGTCAAACCAAAAGACAAAGGCACGTCTTTTTGCATTAATTGAGAAACTGCAACGAACGAGTACATAATCTATTTATGTGTGAATTTCGTTCAAGAATGATATGTGCAATTTGTGATATTACAGTATCATTTGTAAAATTTGAGAACTTAAAATTAATTAATATTAGGGTTTTGGAGCATTATACCTAGCTTCTAGAGACTCCGGTTTCTCAAAAAAAAAAAAAAATTGGAGCAAATTGAAATGGAATTGATTAACAATCTAATAACCAATCAAACATCATAATCAATAAGACTCAACCTAATACCATAATTCAATATAATCTTCCAATTTTGCACTTTAACTTGAAAACTACAGAAGTTACAAGATTTCACCAAAAATTAAAAGAGTGCATGATATGGTTCATAAAACAATTAAGAACAATAAATAGCAAAAATGAAATGCAAAAATATCAAGTTTTGATTAAAAAAGTCTAAGGTGCATTTCATCAAACACTTAGAAAGTAAAACCTAATTAAAGATCACGTGGGCAGATTTTGATACCTTTCAAGTGTTGGTGAACTTGACAATGGCTTGGCTTCCTCTCTTAGATCAAAATAGACCTCTGATTTTTCTAAAAAAGGTAAAAATTGATGAAAGGTAGAGAGAGATTAGGGTTACCTCGATGAGTTTTAGGAGGCGGCGGCAACGGTGGTGGCGCGGTGGGATGCCGGCAGCGGGGATGAAGGAGATCCGAGAGAGGTCGAGGGAGAGAGATCCGAGAGAATGACGAGAGAGAGCTCAAGGAGATTTGAGATCGAGAGAGAGAGAGAGAGAGAGAGAGAGAATAGAGTCGGGAATTTTGAAGGAGGCATCGAACGGGATTTTCTCTCCCTCTCTCTCATTTTCACTCCGATCAAGTGAGGAAAGGGGAAAAGAACCGGGTATATGGGTGTTTTTCTACAGTGATTTTAAGATTAATTTTCTTTCTCGTTTTCTTCCAAACCAAACAAAGAAAAGTCACTTTCTTTTGCACTTTCTTTTCCTTTCTTCTATTTCCCTTCAAACCAAACAGAGCCTAAAGATCTGGAATTTCTAAACTATAACTCTCATCACCTGTGAATGATGCAGGTCACACTTTTGTATTATTCAAATAGAATCGGCACTCCCATTTTAACCCCTTTAAGAGCATCTCCAACAGCTTCCCCATTTCTCACTTTTGGAGAATTTAGTTAGGTTTTTGGCCCAATAGATTCCCCATCTCATTCCCCAAAATAGGGACGGAGGAGAAAAAATAGGGAAGCTTCCCCAAATCTGCAGCATTCTCCAAATTTTTAGAGGAAAAAATTGATTCTTCAAAATGGGGAAGCTGTTGGAGTTGGTGTAAAAATTAGTTGAAGAATATGACTTTTGTTTCCCCATTTTGGAGAAAATTTTGAAAAAGCTGTTGGAGATGCTCTAATGGGCTTTAAAGGGCCGTCGGTGTCAAAATATGGGCCGCACTCCGAAAGCCCTCGTAACATCCATCTATCAGACGACCATTGCCGAATGGACGGTCCGAAATAAACCGAGCAACCTGAGAAGGGCATCGAGCTTCCCTATAAAAACTACGCTCAAAACCCTAAACCCTAAGTCCCAAAACTCTCACTCTCTCTCACTCTCCCTTGCTGTCGAGATCGATAAATGGAGTTCTGGGGTAGTCTCTCACTCTCTCTCTGTCGCTCATACTCTATTTATTTAGAAATTTTATGATTTATGTATTTAGAAATTTTATAATTTATGTATTTTCTTTTTCGATTAATATTCATCTGATCTTTTATTTGTGTGGTGTTATTTAGCTTAAAGTTCCCTGTATTTTTACCTGAAAATGGATAGAATAGTGAATACATAGAGAAACTTTATATGTATGTGTATAATTTTTGTTCTTACGTTCTTATTTAAGAACCCAATCTTTCTAAAATTGATCCGAAAGTGGTAGAAGAAGAAGAAGTTGGGACTAACTCATTATTATTATGAAGTAATTCACTAATACAAGGCTGCAAGTGATATCCTATTTCTATTTTAGGGCAATATTTGAAGCAAATAGTAAAATCCTTCTATTTAAAGTTGTTTTAAGTAGCAAAAAAGGAGTTTGTTACTTTCAGGTGTAGATTCACTGTTTCTTGTGGATGATTCTTTTTAGTATGATTGATAATATAATCATAATTTTTCCCTGTTCAAGTTCATGATACCTTGGTTACGTAATACTCATGGGTTTTTTTGTAGTTTTGCATTTTACTTGCAAGTAGTTTTTTGTTGTGCCAAAATTGTCGTAGATTAGATGTGGAGATGAATATATTATCCCTCCAATTAATTCGGATTCTGATGGAATGTTTTCTTGAAATATTTTGTTTCACTTTAGTTTGTGAAATTTGGGGAAATAGCTAAAAAAAACTTATAAGTGACAGTATCAGAAAATAAGAAAAAAGGTAGCATCTCATCTTTTGTTTTGAAAATCTTTTTTAGGGATCAGTCTTGTTGAAACTAAAGTGAAATAAAAGGATCAAAATATTATCCATGTGCAAGTCATTTTCAAACCATTATATTGTTTTTATTTTGGTACATGTTTGGATATATGAACGGTTAATTATGTATTTCTGTTTGTATTTGTCTGCTGGTTTGCAATGAGACAGTAGCTTCTTTATAGCTTGATTGGTTGATTGCAAATGAAAATTTTATTCTTGGGCAATACTTTAGTAAGGGGCTGTTTGGTTGTTGTTGGTAAAGTTGTGTATTTATGACACAACTTGGAAAATTGTTGTCCACCTCATCAATTTTACTTTTATATTTTTCTTTGTTTGTTTTTTATTCCATTGGAATCATAAATTGCTTGTTTGGTTTGTAAATGTAACTGTAATTGTTTGTTTGGAAAGTATAAAAAGTGGTCCCTACTCAAATGATCATATTGGTTAGAATTATTTTTTATTATTTTTTCCTAACTTCAATGTCAGCTTTCTCCTAAAATCATGTCTTTTTTTTTATGAAATTACTTTACAAGCCACATCAGCATATGAAATCACTTTACACTATTTTCACAACCACAAACAAACAATTGAAAGTGATGAAAGCTGACATTGGGACCCACTTTTTTACACTTTCCATCCTTTTACAATTGAAAGTGATGAAAGCTGACATTGGGACCCACTTTTTTACACTTTCCATCATTTTACATGGTAAAAACATACAACCAAACAGCCCCTAATTGTTTGTTTGGAAAGTGTAAAAAGTGGTCCCTACTCAAATGATCATATTGGTTGGAATTATTTTTTATTATTTTTTCCTGACTTCAATGTCAGCTTTCTCCTAAAATCATGTCTTTTTTTATGAAATCACTTTACAAGCCACATCAGCATATGAAATCACTTTACACTATTTTCACAACCACAAACAAACAATTGAAAGTGATGAAAGCTGACATTGGGACCCACTTTTTTACACTTTCCATCCTTTTACATGGTAAAAACATACAACCAAACAGCCCCTAAATAACCATATACTTATTAATTGAGTTACTCTACATCTTTTGAGACAGATGAGTCTGTTCCTGCCATTTAATTAGTTAATTGCTTTTTTAAATAAGAAAAAAAGAGCATACTCCTTTCTCGTGCACATGTAGGTTCCTTTCTCTTAACCTGTAAGTATGACTGTATAAGCTACTTGAGTTTTGCCTGTATAAGCTTCTTGAGTTTTTCCCTATGCAACTTTACGATACGTAATTTAGCTAATAATTATGAGGTGTGGAGTTTTCTGTTTCCCTTTCAAATGTATCTGAATATTTACAAGTCAAAATTGTCTTCTTTGAGATTATTAACATTTTAACTTGTGGAAATGAATACTATTCCGTATGTAGTTTGTTCAATTTTAGAGGCATACTTCTTAAATGTTTTATGTTTCATTATTTTAGTTTCTAACTTTTTATCTGTCAGTTTTTGTCTTTGCTGGCATTTGAGAACTAAAAGAAAATTGTAAACTAGTTATTACATTATATCTCTTTGTTTCTTACATCATTTGTGTTCAATATGTTAATAATGTCAATTTACATTAAAAGATTATTTTTCCATGCAGAGTGAATATTCCTACCATTTGGTCATATTATAGATATATACTAACCCTTTTTCTATTTGGGATTTACTATTATATTCAGGTGTGGAAGTGAAACCCGGGGAAACAGTTAAGTGTGAAGTAGGAGAGGAGAGATTGATACATCTATCGCAGGTCAGTATACTGAAGTATACAATTTAGTAGGAACTGTTGTCAATATGAATTATAATCTTCATACATTTTGTTAAATGCAGGTTGCACTTGGAGTAACAAAAGACAAAGAAAATGTGCCAATTTACGTGAAATGCAATGACCAGAAGCTAGTTCTTGGAAATCTTTCCTTAGAGAAATGTGCCCAGATTTCTTATGATCTAGTGTTTGAGAAAGAATTTGAATTATCAAATGGCTCCAAGAATGCTAATGTTTATTTCTGTGGATATAAGAACGTCATTGAACCAGAAGAGTATCCTTAGCTTTTTTTGGGGGGTTTTTTATTTAAAAAATTTGAGTAATATGTTATTTTTAGGCTATGTTTCTTCATGTTTCCTTGACTGTCTGCTCTCTGGTGTTCCCAGTGATGGTGAAATGTTTGGTTAGTAGTTGGCTCTGGTTATTTCTTTATTATTGTGCTACATCATTATTTATTACCATACTATTATGTCTTTATCGTAACTAATTTACTATTTCCATTTACAGATTTTGATTCTGAGGATGATGTGCCAGTTGGCATAAATGGTATGATCCTGCTATTGCTAAGAAACTCTGATGGAATTGCATTTTATTTAGGATTATGTTTTAGCTACACAATTTATTTCTCATTTCGACTACAATATTTTTGGTTTATAAGTGTGTATGATGTTGATTCACTGTTGCTTATATATTCTTGCTCAAATTATATAGCCTCTTCAAAAATATTTCATATGTGAACATATTATTTAAGTGCTGGCTTAGATCACAAATTTGATTATTGGCTACATGTCAGCTACCACTCTGTCCTCTTCTTTTTTTTTCTCTTTTTTTCCCTTCAATTTTTACAGATATTTTTGGAGAAGGTTTTATGTAAGAATGGGATGGCAACTTTATCCCAACTCTGTTAAAAAACTGACACTAATTAAGTTGAGGGTATCTATTGGGTTTGAGATGAGTTTGGGGTAAATCATCATACTTGAAGTTTTGGATATTAAGGAAGACGATAGATTTTAGGGATATATCGGTAAAAACCCCAATTTTTTGTGCTAATCAGCTGTACTCTTTTTAGGTCTTTGCTTTGCTTTGCTATGGCGTATGAGGTTATAGTACAACAGTCTTGTACAAGTTTAATTAATTTATAGTGTCCGTATTTTTTGAGTTCATTTTCTAATTAATATTTTAAGTCAGTTTCCTGATTCCACATTTGTCTAGAATGCGCACAAATTTACGGTTTCTTATGTGTAGGCAACATCAAGGGGGATAATATGATTGCGAATCTAATGGCAAAAGCAAAAAAGGCAGCTAAAGCTGAGGTCAAGGCTGATGAAAATGAAGATGAAGATGACGAAGATGACGATGAAGTTGATTCTGATGATGATCTTGAAGGCACTGACGAGGTGAATTTAACATAAAAAATTGCGTTTCTTTTATGATATTGGATAGTTATTTTTGTTTTAAAAAATTCATGCCATATTGTGCTTATGAGATCATAAGCCAGTAGTATCTTAGATTCTTACTCTCCTTGCCTGTGTTGCTTTGCTTTCATTACTTGAACCCTGTACTATATAATCTCAACTCTTCCATGTGTATTGTTTATATAATTTCTTATTTGGAGCAGGACATGATGGAGGCAATGGGAGATAGTGATGAGGATGAGGACAGTGGTGACGATGAAGAAGAAGAAAGCTCTGAAGAGGAAAAAGAGGCTACTCCAAAGAAGGTAGTATTTCCGTAAGACTAAATTACAAGAAACCCCATTCATCTAAACCATGTTTTTTGAGAACCCCATCATCTAAAAAAAGTTAAATAAAGAACCCTGCTTCTCTTACCGCTAATGAAACTGTTAATTTCACAATAAAATTCTGCTTCTTCGAACATTTGGGGTATATGTTTGACTTTGCACATCAAATTCATAGAGTTTGAGAGTTGCAAAGGAACATGGAGAAATAGTTAGGTTTTATGTATTAGTTAATAATTGTTTTTTATTATTCACCAAGAATTCTGCTTGTAAAGATCTATGCTCTATCAATTTTATTATTGAACACATATGAGGGGTTCTTTTGTTTAACTTTTTAGATAAAGGGTTTCTTGAATGAAGAGGGCTTCATAATTTAACTTTCTTATAATACATGTTCCAAAGTTGTTTTCTTATGAATATGGTGCTTATTCTGTAGTCTGCTAATGGCAAGAAGAGACCGGCTGAATCAGCTTCAAAGACTCCTATTCCAGAGAAGAAGGCTAAGGTTGTAACCCCAGCTGGACAGAAATCAGGTAAACTCTTTCTCTTAGTAAATCTATGTTAAACATTATTTCCTCTGTTTGTACATTTTTCATGGTATGATTGTTGGTTTCTTTAATAGGTGGTGATGGAAAGAAAAATGTTCATCTTGCGACTCCTCACCCTGCAAAGCAAGCAGGGAAAACACCAGCAAAGAGTGAAAAGGCGAAGCAGCAGAGTCCTAAATCTGCTGGTTCTGTTAGTTGCAAGTCATGTAGCAAGTATGTACACTGTTCTTCTCCAAGCCTATATAGAAACTCACATGAAACAATCAACTATTGCACAATTTATGCACAGTTCAAGTTATTGCATGTGTCAAGAAAAAAGAAATCTTATAGATGCTACTCTATAGAAAATTGTAGAAGAGTATGATCACATAAAAGCTGTATTTTATTTTATTTTTTATTTTTTGCTTCACTATTGTTGTTCTTCCTTTCTTTGTTTCTCCATCATGTGGTTTTTCATATTTTTTCTCCTTCCTCTTAATCCGTTCACTTTTTGTCTTCTTTTCTCTTCTTTCTATTGCTTGTTTTTTCTTTCTTCTCCTTCAGTCTCTTTCTCCTTCAATTTCTCTGAACATTAGTTATGAAGTTGTACATAACATAATCATAGTTTCTTTACCAGTATTTCAGAAAGAAAGTTTGTGTAAAAAAGAAAAAGGATTCAATTTTGATAACCATCATATGTTGCAATTAATTTAATTTTCATATTTTAGAATCATTATTATGTTCAAAACATTAAGTTGTTCGATGCACACTGGGCATGTTAGGGTTTTACGTTGGTTTGCACTTTGCACCTCGACAACAATGATCAATGCTGTTTTGTGCACGTTGGGCATGTTGAGAGTTTTACTTGTTTGCACTTTGCAACTCGACGACACTGATCAGTGCAACCGACCAAAATATGAATGAATTTGAATGAAACATGAATTAGTGCAATCGTCAGCTTTTGTAATTGGTTTTAGGGCGCACATGCAAGCTGCTGCTTCCTCCATCTATGATTATCTACAGAGTTCTCTACTTGACAAGGAAGCTAATTCAATTTGTGCATGTTCCCTTTGTGTTCAGGTCTTTTAACTCCGACAATGCTCTTCAAGCTCATACAAAAGCTAAGCACAGTGGCGGCAAGTGAGAAAGTTGCAAGTTTTGATTCTCAAAATTTGTTGTTTTTTTTCCTGATGAGCGTTAGTTGAGCTGAGTAATAGCAATTGGTGTTTTTCTTTTTTCATTCATGATCACTGGCGGAGGCAAGCTGATTGCTGTGAGTTTATTTCAGTATCCAAATTTGAGGAGATACCTATGGAGGTGTTTTGTTTTTCTAAAAATTTGAGGAGATACCTATGGAGGTGTTTTGTTTAAGCATAGATGTGTGTAGTATTTTATGTGTGATTATTTCAGTATCCAAATTCTTGTGCCTCTGAATTAGCTGAGTCTTTTAGCATTGGCATACACGTGACCATGATCAATGAAGATTATGTTTTTCCGCTATAGGCTTGCATAAGAATGGACTGGCCGTACAAAAATCGAACATATTCATATTCTTATGTTCTTCGTCTTTCAATAAACTAAAATATAAGAGCCAACATATCTGTCATTGCGCCGAATGTTTGGGGCTTGAGCTTGGGTACAACGCAAAAAAGATGATCTAATTTAAATTGAGTAAGGATAACTGTACTATAGAATTTATATTACCTTTTGTATTTTAACAAATAAAAAAATAGGTTTATGATGGTTTCTAATTTTTCTTAACAATTTCTAAGGATCTTACACATTTGTTAGTGATAGTACAAAAGTATTATGAAATTCCCATTCATATTTATGACAACAAAGATTATATCATGCCAGCAACTAAGTATCATTCTCTGATGCTAGGAGTCTAGCCCGATTAACATGAATACAAATTATGTGATCATTTCTCCTATAATCATTTTTCTCCCATATAGGGATTGGACCTCAAGAAAAACAACATGTATTAGGGGAAAAAAATCATACAAAAGAATTTAGTTTATTGTGCAAAAAATCAGTATCAAGATTATGGATTTACGCACATTAGCCGAACTGCCAAATTTAAGCTATTCGATGGGATTGAATTTCTTTTGACGGCATCAAGCCTTGAGTTTTTGCAAAGCGTTTCCTTGAAAGAGAACATATGACTAACAACAAAACCCATAAGGTTGCATTTGGATTCATCACAATTCCCTTCTTTGAGAATCACTTGAATTTTGATTGTAGAATTTCAATTCCAAATCCACCGTTTGGGAACCCTAAAAATTTCAATTCTAGAATTCTCATTCAATTGTTAAGAATTCCTAAATTTCATTTCACTAAAGTACTAGACATTATAAATATGAGAAATAACAATATAATTTCTAAAAAGCCCTGAAAATTAAATATACTATGGAGCAAACTAATAAATGAAAGACAAACAAGATTATACCAGCAAGAGGAAAACAACCAAAAACCAATAGGCACATTGTACATATATATTGCATATGTTACAAAATATTGTTCGACTATTGAAGAACATGCCAACAAGAATAAACTTTTGCATCCTCAGTTATACTACTAAAAACACGGTACAAAATTCTCATTGCTCATAGTTAATTGAGTCATGTCCTAATAAACACTAACTGAATCAAAACATGAAAAGCTCAACAAACCAACTCGCAACAAATAAATCTCCAAAATATTATTGGCCCCTCTCCTAGATTTAAGAAGCAAGTCGAACTTCATAAGATATTCAATCACCTGAAACAAGACGAAAAGACCAAATCAACTTTTATCATTAACAAGTCTTCTCAAGAGGAAGAGAGGAAACAAGATAGCTCAAACTAAGAGCCGAACTCACTATCAATAGACAGTATCACATAATGATTCATATTTTTTTAATATTTTTTTTTGAGTAACATAACAATGCATATTATTATATACTCTATACTATGAGAAGGTCAAATTAACATGTATGGACACATTTTATCTAGCCTTTTATCCAAAATAAATTCTTTCCCTTTATATTTGCGTGATGGCCATCAATGCCTTGATATAACAAAAATTGGATACTAGCATAAAGTAATTGCCCTTATAATAGGCAAACATAAAGTAGCTCACTTAATTTTGTAATGCTAGGAGGTTTTATGTCACGCACACAAATTGGATACTAGCATCCCCTATGAATGCAGCTGTAACGATGAATGCTGCTATTTTCTTATGAAACTGAAGCCTTTAAGCAGTGCCTAAATGCTTGTCGCGCTACATAACTCGCAAAATTTAAGTTTTGTATTAATTTCCATTTTGCACTAATCAAAGAATAAACAGTCTTTTAACCAGATGGATGTTACCGTACTTTCTCCATCAACGGTTTATGCATTTTTAGCATAAGATGCAACACTTTACACGGACAATTGCAAAAAAGGAAAGAAAAGAAGTACATGGTGCTCTTTTTTTAACTTGCCATGGATTCTAAAGTTTCATACTAAGCACCTGCATAGCCACTCTAAAACATCTAGCAAATAAACACAAAGGTCTAGTGGATATTGCCAAAAGTTAAGCATTAGATGAAATTTCACAATAAGCACATGACACCATAATGAGAGGCTAAATATCTTGCATTGTAAATTTAGAATATAAAAACTTACTTCCCTCACTGCAGAAGTATGAAAATAAAGTTTACTAAATTTCAGGAGGCAACACAATATATAAATTGGGAAAAATTTCTTCAAGGCCCCAAATCTGAAAAAGTTATGTGCACCAGCCCACTGTACTTTTGCCTATGTGTATAAACCCAAAATACATTGTAAAATTGCGTTTCAACGACGCCAACTCAGCAGCTTGAGAGAAATATTTCTAAAACCCTATTCTATCCCTAACCGGTAGCGCTACAGTACCCGCGTTTCGATAACCGAGCCCACCCACTCTGTAACTCAAATCAAGTTTCTCTCTCTCAACCAATCCAAACCCTTCAAATGCTTAGTCAACTGGAAAAGGGTTTGCCTAAGTATATCATAAGGTGGACTGGGAGTGAAAGATCTTAAATTGTTTAATATCTCGTTATTATCTAAGTGGTTATGGAAATGCTTAGATAGAGACTCTTTCATAGGTGCTTTTCTCTTCCAATTATATGTCAGAAAGGCTTCTTCCCTGCAACTATCTACCAGTAATAACCAGAATTCTATGGTCTGGAATGATATCATGTCAAATAAAGAAGCTTTCCTCCATCTTATATCATGGTCCCTAGGTATTGGTACAAATATCAGATTTTGGGAGGATAAATGGATTGGTGAAAATACTTTATCTAGTTTATATCCATCTATTTATAGTCTTGCCTTATCCTCTAATGTATCTATTCGTAGTCAAGGTCTGTTCCACAACAATACTTGGCACTGGCATCCTACTTTAAGGAGAAGTACTTCTTCAGTTGCAATCTCAGCAAAATCTGATCTTATTCATCTTCTTGGTTCTTTCAAAGTGAATAATGAAGTTGATGTTCCTAAATGGTCTCTTACTGCAAATGGATGTTTTTCAGTCAAATCATTTTATGACTTCTTAAACACCAGAGGTGTTATGTTTGCATTTCAAAAAGTTGTATGGAATCCTATTATACCAAGCAAAGTTCAGATTTTTTCATGGCTTATAGTTATGAATCGTCTTCATACAAAGAACAATCTCATTAAGAAAGGTTGGCAAGGGGATTCTTTATGTATTTTCTGTGGTATTCAACCAGAAACTCGCAACCATATCTTCTTTTCATGTAACATAACAAAAAAAGTCTGGAAACACTTCAGCAACTACTGCTTACCTTTTGTTTGGCCTGCATCTCTCGATGTACTTTTGTCATCTGTTGAAACTCTTCAAAATAAGGAAGGTGTTATGTGGCGTTCTATCTTTTCAGCAGTTTGTTGGATCATATGGAGCTCAAGAAACAAATTCATCTTTGAACACTTATCTTTCTCTGTCCATTCCATCATTAACTCTACTATTGCTGCTCTATGTGAATGGGCAAGTTATGCCGGCAAGAAGAATGCACTCATCTTAGCGCGAGCTTTGGAGGAGAATCCGATCAGAAGGAACAGTGTATGAAAATCTCAAGTGGGTTTTTGGAAGTTGTAGGTTCATATTTCATAATACTTCTGTAGTCAGTCTTTTTGGCTTTTCTAATTAGTCTATAGAAATTTTAATTTCCTAATACTATATGTATGGCCGGCTTTGGTTCTCCTTTATATCTATGTCAACGGTGAATGACGTCAAGGACCTCTCTTCATCTTCATGGATATCTAGGAGAAGAAGGTTATACATCCCTAGATTGAGAAATTCTATTTTCTATCTACTAATTTTCTTATAAGGATACAGTTCGTATTCTTCTTTTGTAAAGATACTTGTCAGTTTTTAATTTAATGAACAGGGTAAATCCCTTGTTTTTACCGTAAAAAAAAAAGTTTCTCTCTCTCTCTCTCTCTCTCTCTCTCTCTCTCTCTCTCTCTCCCCTCCCGCACTCTGTCTCTCCCCCCCTCTCTATAGTTAATAGTACCCGGGGAATTCACAAATCTCCACTCTAAGGTTTTGTCACAATCGGCAAAAAATGGTCAAAAAATCGACGGTGAACCCAGATTCCCCAACATCATTAAGAAAAGACGATGAATTGGAAGGTGTTGACCGTCCTCCTCTGCCGCTGCAAGAGCAGGAACCTGCGTCGACGAACGACGAGCGACAAGACTCGCATTCGACGAAGGTTAAAGACCTCTCCTTGCCGGCGTCGCTTGGTAAAGATCCCCCCTCGCCTTACAAGATTTTTAAAGACCCCCCTTTGCCGTCTAAGACCGACCATGGACCCTATTCTCTCTCATCCTCCTCCCCCTCCAAGTCTTCGCCCACCCATGCGTCATCATTAGGGAATGACAATACTGTTGAAGCCACCCAGACCCTGTTGGACATGCAAAAGGGGTTACCAATAAAAAGGAAAACAAGTTCAAGACAATAATTAAAGAAATCCAGAAAGAAGTAAGTTGAAGTTAAATTTTCCAATTTAGATAGATTGATGTTACAGATTAATATTGATGCATTGTGAACTATATGCCTGGATCTGTGAAATGTAACATATTAATGTTAGCAATGAATGACTGGCTATTATGTTTTGTTATAATCTACTAACGTTTCTTATAAACTGTTAACTCTTGACATTGGCTGAAGATATTGATATCTGATACCTGACTTTACACATTATGCGTTAAGTTTTATTGATGGATAACAAGTCTAGCGATTGTTTGTTAAGGTGTACGACATAATTCTTACATTTCATTGTTGGTTGCTACCATTAGTTGTTGGATGTTAAGTTTAGATGAATTGATGTTAAATGTTAAATTTTAATACATGAAAAAGTCTTATGTTGCAGCTGAAATTAGACCTACCACTAGTTTTAGCGCATATTA